GGAATACCGGCCAAAAACCCTTAGCTATGGGCACAGACCAGACCAATAGCACAATAAACAGGAACACGCCGATATAACTCTTTCAGTCCCGGCGCGTTCAAAATATCCTAACATTAGAACATCTTATTAGAACAATGAGTAACATCTACCGGTATCCACAGTGACAGAAATGGGGTGCGTTTTCCGTTGCATGTGATTTCGATCAAGTCGCTCGTTAGGAAGTTTGTCCAAGTTGACGGAAACTCCAAACCGCAAAATTCTGCCTAAAGTTTTTTGTGTTTTACAGTTGTCAGTTTCGCGTTCACATTACAATGACCATATAATGGCGTAATACCATGCAACGGGATTTGTTGTACGAAGTACGCTTGGGCCGGGTGAAAAGGTGCGCCTGGAGGCATGTTTGGGGTTCTCACTCCAGCGATCTCACCTCAATTTATGTTGGTGAGTGGCAGCAATTTCTCAAGGTCGCATTAGCATCTCTCCATCATAATCTTCTCTGAACTCTAACAGGATTACGCATCGGTATGTTTTACAAAATGGCAACAACATTCAATAGATAGATAAACTAAGGTGCAAAAAATTGCCAGTGAAACAACTGGTGTTTTCTACTGTGAAATTCCTCCAGGTTAACCCGGCGGAAACGGAAAGGTTTCATGTGGTTTACGGAGGCGCCCAAAAATGATGGTACTCTGGGAACCAAAAGGAGTATGTGATCTTCTAATTGCTATAGTTGGTTCTTTTTTCAGTTGAAGGAGAGAAATTATTACCAGTCTCTAAAGTGAATGATCAGACTCATTCCCCAAAACCGATCGAGATATTCAAAAACTCATGTCGATTAAAAGAACACAAACGTTTCGCTTGGATTCGGATATGCTAATGACTTTGAATTTGCGAATCCTATGTGGCGCCGAAAGAATGAAAGCGGGAGGAAGTCTCGTGGACGTCCGTTGGAAATCATCAAGCACAGTTGTATGAGCACTGAAACCAAATTATACAATTATGCACTACTATCACCGGTCAGTTTTCTATAGTGTCACACTTCCTACACGCAACGGTCATTCAGCCGTAACACTCCTTCGGTGCCTAGCTGCCCGAAGGAAGCACGAGGGTGGTCACACTGTCAGTTTCCCAACCGTAGAGAGAAGCAGTCGAGATGCAGAGGTTGGGTTCGAACTACGAACCTTCCGGTCAGTAAATCTACCCCTTCTTGAACGCAATAGCTTACTGACATATTGGCAGTTTGGTTGTCGTGAATAACTAGTCTGTACATGTGAGGCAGGTGCATAATTTCATTTTTTGTGAATTAGGTCAAAAGTACCGCAAGTTGTTCGTCGACGATTTGCGACCGATACAGGTTAGTGTGGTCGGTATCCCACAAGCAGATGCCTTCAAAGATGAAACAGCTGCAGAAGTTTACTGGATTGCTGCCGCTGGTTGCTGGATCGATTATATATATGTATAAAGACGCGTTCGTGGAAACGATATTTCGCCAGATAACTCTGTCCTTTGCCAAATTTTTTGATGATCCAAAACCGGAATTGCTGCTCAAACTCGTGAAGTCTGCTTCCGTATGGGAGTTACAGACTTCCTTGAATTAGACATCTTGCAATAAAGCTCAAGGACATACGTTTTTCTGATGTGCCTAACTGCAGAAAGCTTTATGATTTGTGCACCACATACTTCTTACCGCTCAATATTTACTGAACTTCTCGCAGTACCATTGTTTTCGTACGCATACTGATCAACGATCTGTAGTAGAACTGGGATATCCTACAAAGATCCTATTTTCAGGAAATGAGTTCAATATGCCCAATATAGAAAATCGAAAGGATATCAGTTGAAAATGGGATTCAGCATACTGGTTACTTTGCACCATCTTCCGGTGCAAAACAGAGTAGTTTAGGGTTGCTATCTGACTACTGGGCCATCCTATTCATGGTGTATCGACCTCCTAACATGAAAAAGCGGTTGCATCAAATGTGTCACTTAAAGGAGCGAATTACTTTTCGCTACTAATTGTAATTGAGTAGCACAAAGTCTGAAGCAAAAATCGTTTAGATTGATGTGTGCCGTGCTGCGGTATTAAATTTGAACCCAACCGATGAGCAGCCTATCACACCAATCCGATGAGCTCTAATTTGGATGAAGCACACAGTACATTGCTCTGCGAAGACGGACCACTTCTGGTTGGCAAGTATCGCCCGTATATTTTTAATCTCACGACTTGTTAACTACCAGGAGATTGATTAGTTTGTACTTTGGGGTTATTTGCTCCTGCAGGAGGATGAGCTGGCTTCAAGAGTATCCCGGGTCACTTCTGCCCATGCAGCTCAATCGGCAGAAAGTTTTGATCACAACGTTTTTGAGTTTTTCCTCCACTGTGTGCCTCTGTGGGACGCCGGAAGACCCAGTGGTTCAACATAGTTCTTGAGTGTAGAAGTCAGGTTTTCGATTGCCCTCCGGTGCGACAGCGGCATTTTGAGCAGACCAGAGTTGACAGGGGGCTTGGAACAGATCGGAGTCTGGTTTACTGAGAGCATGTCCCAGGCAATGTATTCTTTGTCGCTGGATTAGTTTGGAGAGGCGTCTCATCGTTGGATACCCTGTAGTTCCAAAGTGCTTTGAGTTTGTTTCCTACGCACCGGTGGCTTCCCAATATAGACAGTTCGGAAAGACCAAATCTCAAAAGCTTATGTTAATACCGATCGAGAAATTGCAGTGTACGAGATAAGGTTCCTTTGGAAGCTTATTTCTGGGCGGTTTCGTGGGGTTTTTTGAAGCCGCGTAAGTGTCATCTTGAAGTTGTTGATGCGGCCAACTGCCAGACATCTCAAGATGAACAGATTAGTGGCATAAGTCGAAGGATGTACAACGACCTTCCAGATACGGATAAACTCATCTTCTCGAAGATCACTGACTTTCATAAGAGTTGAACTCAGTTGACTCTTCATCGAAAAGCTTGGAGATAGTGATCCTTCACCAGCACCATCAGATTCACTACGGGCGATTTTCTCGGTTGACCAATGGGTGCATAGCAAGTCGACAAAAAATTATTTGTTGTCAAAACAGCCACCGACCCCTTGCTGCGCTCCACTGCGCATCCTAACAACGCACTAATGATGTCACCTTGATTATGATGAAACTAGCAAGTCGACAAAAAATTATTTGTTGTCAAAACAGCCACCGACCCCTTGCTGCGCTCCACTGCGCATCCTAACAACGCACTAATGATGTCACCTTGATTGATGATGAAACGTTTGCAATCGAATTCCCAGCTCAGTGAACCAAACCATCGACCATCCTTGGTACCTTAGCCAGCAACATCCTACTCAATAGCAAATGCCATAATGACTCTGTCATTCAGGATTATAACAAAAAAGCCAGTTGGAATTATGGAGTCTCCTGTACAAAACTATAGATTTTCCACACTTATAAAGCCTGTCCTGACAGTTTCTGTTAAACCGAAACCCCTGTTTGTTCCATCGATATCTCACCGCTGAGGAAATTTTTGATTATTCAAAAGTAGCCCAGTATACGAGGAAGGACAATTGATTACTTAATCACCTCTGTTTAGGTCTTTAATCGTGAATCCGTTTGACACTCAGTTGGAATGCAAGAGTTGTCATAAACCCTATCATCAGTGGAACACATCACCACCGAGAAGGCTTCCTCAAGTTCATTGTCTGTTCCATCTTATTATTCTACACATTACCCTTTTCCCATACATCGTAACACATGCCGAGAAACTTAGGATTTTTCTACGACCAGAGTAAATATGGTCTCCGGGATGCTTTTGGCAGCCAAATACTAGTATATTTCAGGACGCAGGATTTCACGCCATTCAAGGAAAGCGATTTCACGAATGTTTTAGCAACTTTCCGTTTCCGCTTGTCGGCCAGCGTTTCGAGAGCTTCCATGATGGGACAACTCAGAGAAGCATCACCAACGGAAATTTCAGCTGTTCCCATCATTTTGAATACACGTTCCCAAAGTTCTACAAATGTTACGTTATTCTCTAAACCTCTGCATCTCATTTGTATCTTGCAACATTTACTCTGAGTTGTTTACCGCCTCTTACATTGCGACTGGATCTGCTGATCCTCTGATGTTTTCTCCAGGATATTTGAAAGAATTTTCAGTTCCTGAAACGTATTTCTAGCTGCACAGGAGCAATAATGCATATTTCGCGGTCAGAATGCATGGTGCATGTTGTTTAAGGTCTTCCTGTATGCCTGAAGTCACATGTATCCTTTGTTATCCAATCCCCCACACGCATTCAAAATTGGATGTCATGTTTGTTGACTACTGCAACTTTAGTCATGATGTACCCCCCTCGGTGGTTGATTTCATGTGAGCCTACGGTCACCAGTCAGATAACATTCATGCGTAAAACTGTACTCCTACATCCCGTCTTCCTGTTTTCGGGTGTCCAGTATGTTACTCAGGCTAGTTGCAATGTATAATTTGTATTATAGGGGTCACCGTTGGAGTATGATGTTTTTTCCTCTACCTGTCTTCAAAATCACTCATGGCAGGGCATAAGTACCAATATACTCATGGACTTTAGAGTGGTCGCGGAGAATCTCGATAGGTTTATTTCTATTTGTAACCGGCCAAAGAGGGGAGCGCGAAAGGCCAGTTTACCGTGACCAGAGGTCTGACTGATTATTTCTCGGTTTTATGGTAATGTACCGAGAAAGCCATCTGAAAGTCTTCGTCCCGAATCAGAGTTAGGTAGGCTTTGGAGGAAGATCTGTGGGGTGAATTACTCATCCAAGGTGGCTAGCACGGATAATGTGTTATATGTTTTCTTCTCTCGGATGCTAGCGTGGTGTATCGTAGTTGACGATAAACTCTAATGGCAGATTAGGTTTCCTTCATATAGGTCTTTCTTTGAATGAATTAGTGTGTGCATATAGTTTGTCCAAGCAGACTTCAGAAGACGACAAAAATGTCTAGATAGTTTATTCAAAATGCATTGTGAAGCAAGAAAACTGAAGGGAACACATGCCGAATGAGAATCTACAGGATAACTTTGTTTCAAATCCCTACTGAGACGTATTCAATGCCTTCGAAGGACAAAAGTCAAGTAAACAGGCTTCCACGGTGGCGTGGACATAAATAGTGAAATTTGATGGGTTCAGAAGGGGGAGGGAACATGGTTCCTTGATGCTTGTAAACAAGCAGTGAATTAGGTACTGCCCCAACGCCAGTGTGAATTCGGATATCGACGTCTGCGATTTCGCCTATTTGATCGGACACAAGCCCCTTTCCAACACTGGAATGAGATGAAATTAAAAACTATTTTAAAGTTAATAGGCTCAGAAATACACGCGTTTTGATTAATCTTCAAGTTAGTTTGTGTTCTGCAGTTTATTTTCGAATTTTTGAAGGAAGGTTTTGTGTACTGCAAACTCTTGACGGTGTCTTCCACATTTGAACAAAGTGATCGGCTGCTGAGAACATCCGTCTAACGACCAGATTTCTAGCTCTTTTCCCAGCCCATCAATAATCTTTCACTGCCCGAAACGATTTGAGGGTACATTACTATGAAATATAACATAAAGAACCCCGTTTTTTATTACTAAGAGTACACTATAAAACTATTTTGCCCCGTATGGTTTCAGATATTGCGTACCACTTATGAGCACTCTACTTAGCTGTTTTACAACCCTAACTCCTGGTCATTTAATCCACGGAGGCGATGACTTTTGTACCTGTTTTTGTCAAATTGTTCAGATGATTATTCAGGGTTTAGATATCCACACCATCGAGTATATCCTTAGCCAGTATATCTCGTCCCAGTTCAACCGGGGTGGAAATGCTAACGTACCCTTTGCAAATTATAGTAGTCATATAAGTTATAATTTCAAGTGCACTGGCAAAGCCCTGCAAAATTTTTTCACGGTACTTAAGTTGGGTGATCCGTCATTAACACATGTAGTTCGACTGAAACCGAAAGAAGCCCGAAGTCTCATTCTTGCAGGCTGACGCCAAGAAGCCAGACCGATCACTTTTGAGGAGCAATTGTATAGTCTCGAAATGGTTGACGCAAAGGGAATTTGTGTTCAGATGGAGTCTATAACGAAGCTAGACCGGAAAACTGGAACCTTGTGGATTGGAGTAAGTCCGCTTGCTATTGTCACTGCATATGCCCATGTCCACCGCGATGATTGTTTGCTCTACCATGAGTACACCCATTTAAGGCATTCACACCCCACCCATCTTGACCGTTGGTTGGATTACTAGTGAAACGTGTAATGCCCCACTTTGGCGGATTGTACTTCCCGGTAATTCTACCAGGAAACACTGAACTCGATAACGTGCAGGATGATGAACAGAATGGCAGACGATATAATGGGAGCTGCAAAGCAAATGTTTCTGGGATTGGGATGCAAGTGCACCGTTATGTTGGATAGTGGACCAACCGAAATATACTGTGTGTAACTTGTTGGGTAAATCGATGTGACTAAGGCTCGGGAACTTCCCACAGGTAACTGAAAACCGACACAGATATCAGCTGAGTTTGAGTGGTTTGAGTGTTGTGCGATTGGTTTTACTGCTGGCGTCCAGAATTAAAACCCTGCAAGCGATAAAACTGAGTAAGTGGATCAAGGGAGTGGAGTGGCTGAGACAGAAAGAATGCAATATAGTTCGCTTAATGGAGACCGCGGACAGGTGGGAACTGTTCCGGTTTCTAGCCGCAGAACTCGTTGTCCGGAGTCTAAAGCTGACCACAAAATTTCCTCATTTCTGTTTTGTTTAAGATACCTTGTCCACACCAAATAAAACTATCTTAGCCAATATTCTTTCGAATTTGTTTTCACGGATTTGAAAACCGATAGTCAGGTTTTTCAGCTTTCCACATTCCAGTTCACCGCCAGAATGGACTTCTCCCGGTCTACCCAAGCGATAAGTCACAAACACCATGTAGAAGATCGATCACACACCCAACAGCCGAGTCCAGCATTACAATGTCTCAATCGCCGCCCGGTGCAATATATCGTCGCCATCCCATAGATCCTACTTCGCGATCACGCCATTAGGTACACTACTGCGTAGAGAAGTTGCTGATGTCACTGATCTTTGGAAAAACAAAATAGTGGCGGATTAAGCTTTGGATGCGTATTTTCTAATGTTTGGAAGCTTATAACTGGACAAAGTTAGGGAAAATTACCCCACCCCGCATGCCCCCGGCGACCATATAGAAATATTTTGGTATTTTGCACGCTGTTTGTCTAGTTAGTGTGTTCCAGTAAAGTCGTGAGCCTTCTGTGTGGTTGAGACTTTCACAAAATACCCACAGCTTCCCCACTTTCTGACACCAGTTCGTCGGTAGCTTTCTGCACAAAAGAAAAGACACTTAATCGGCCACTTGGTCCAGTGATACTATCAAAAGTAGAACTAAATCGGCCGGTGGTTTAGCTCCAAGCGTTTGCTGTAAGTTACGTGCCACCCTGTTCCAGGGAGCTTAGGTAATCGGTCCTTAAGACGCCTATAACAGTAAGTTACAGCATTTAGGCAAAATGTTTTGTCAAAAGATGTGTATACCTGCCCTGGGTAATAAGTAGCCAGGTTGCCCCCAGCTCCAGAGATCACCCGCACGCTAATGTCAGGTAATGTCAGTCAGTTCGCAAAAATGAATACACCCACTATGATGGAGGTGTCAAGACAGCTTTTCTCAACAGAACCTGTACCATTGCGTTTTTTGTCAGGTTCAGAGTTCTTCGTACTTGTCGAAGAATCGAGGATTAACCAAAGCTCGGTGGATAGGGCCCAGGGTGGATAGGAGAGAGAATGTGGATCAACCCAAAAACTATGGACTCCGTGGCAGTTCAAAAAATATCGTCCCGGCTACAGCTAAGCTCATTTATCACCAGAAGCTTAACAACATTTTGCTTTATAGCACATGGTCTTTGAATCCACTTTTCTTGAAAAAACACCATTACGTATTGTAAGGCTGTAATTTTAAGTGCTGCTAGGTAGCATTTAAACATCAGCTCCGCGACATGATATTCTGGAGTATGCAGCCTGACTTGACCTCTTTTTGGGGTTTTAAATGTTGGTGGTTAGATTCTGAGCTTACGTGACTCCCCAAGTCTACCATTCCACACCATATTCTACGACCGGTTTTTCTCGGTAGACTTGGACAAACTAAGTTAATCCCATCACAGGCCACACTCCCATTTCTTCGTGCTTTTCTCTCTCATGAAGGTCACTACGTGCGTTTTGGTGACGTGCTAACATACAACCCGAGAGAAACTCACCGCGAGCCTTTTGGTATAACGTTTGATACGGGACAGGAACACTGTGTTGGCGGTAATATTTAAGGTTTGTCGTGCCTTGTACGAGTGTGTGAGCATCAGATACCGCTTGTTAACCGTGAGTTCATCTGGACAAACGCAACGAATTGGCCACGAGTAGGTGAGGATCATCTTGTCATCGTAAGGGTGTATATCGGACTCCAAGGTCTCGAGCACATGGAACCGGAAGAACGGCTGGAAAAGGTCATTCTCACCGAACCACCAAAGCGTTTGAGATATTCGTATGACGGAGGCTGCAATGGAGTTTGTGGTGGAGATAACAGTAACTGATGGCCTCAAACTCTAATAGAAGGAAGATCTTGCTAAACGGCACCTTGGTGAAATTCCTAGTATACCTCGATAGAACTCCTCAGGCGTTTCAACAGAAACATGAAGTCATTTGATGTCAAGTTTAGGTGATCTAAGAAATGCTCAGCAGCTGTTATGAACCGTCTTAAGTGAATGCAGAAGCGTCTTTGGATTTTTGTCGACACACATTCCTGTAGGGTAAGACATACTCCAGACTCAATACGAAAGATGTAGAACATTCACCTTTAACCTTCAAATTAAGCGTCATCGTAGTAAGTGGCTGTGTGTTCAGACATCCACTGCTTACAATTTATCTGCCTAGATCAAGAAATACCATGCACTTTTAAGGCCTTATGGTCTAAAAGACTACGTTACCACCAGATTCTCAGTTGATCGAATCTTGGCTAAAGCCTTTTGTCACGCTGAATTCGTTTACAATTAACAGGAGCCACTTGCACAGGAGTACGATCTTTTGCTGAATGTAAATTGAATGGGTTGTTTTTTAGTGTGACTGGTGGCTGCTTGCGATATTTTGTAATTTTACCATGTACGGAAGTCATAAATAAAAAATTAGTTCGGTAATTGTGGAAAATTGTTTGGTCCGTTATCCGCCATCACTCACTAACCGTTCTGAAGCTCTCTTCATCACAAAGTCCCTACCAAATTAACTCCACAACCCGTTCTCAAGGAAGTCATGAATAAAACAGAAATAATTTGTCCGTAGCATTTTTTCGGTGGCTAACCGCCATGCCACCAGAGGCAAACACGAAGAGTGGCATACTGCCAGGTTGCTCAAGCCTAAACATGGGAAGTCGAGAGGCAGATGTCGGGTTCGAACCACGGACCTTCCAATCAGTAAATTCGAGCACTAACCACTGAGCCATCTCGCTTTTAAGTGAATATTTGTTACCGCATGGTTTTAAAGGTTAGGCGAAAGCTGCTTTAAGTAAAGGATGGCCAAATGAAGAAGATAGCGAATAAGCATTTCAACCACCCCATTTTTACCCCAATGGATGCCTTCAGATTGATTGATAACGGTGATACGATGACACTAGACACGTCCTATTTTAAAAATAAATACCGAAAAATAGCCCATGCCGATGAACCTCCACCACTTTGTATGATAATTATCATGAACCAATCACCTACCGGCATTCGAATGTTAGCTCTGTTCTATTATGAATGGCATAAACTAAAAACCCACTTACATGAAAAAAGCTGTCACAGGGTTGGTCGAAACTGGAGTTGTGCTTGTCTATTCCGTGACGTTTTATTTCCAAAGCTTGCGGAATACTTGATTACCCATTGTTCTTCTCCGAACCCTGTCACACCCTCAAGGGCCTGTTTCTGCAGTTTCCCGTTCAGTACATTCGACCTATTTTGGCCTCACAATTACTTTAACGAAAAATATGTATTAGCAAGAAATACTGGTAACTCAGGTTCTCTGAACTAGACCAGAATGATGCAGACTTATTTTGGAAAAACGGAAGGAACTGGCGCATCGAAATGGGGATAAGGAAGGGAGTTCCTAAGGGCCTGGTGATCCAAAGCGAATTCTACAAATCGACATATGGAAACTGAAACTGCTGCGCACCCCTACGAGCGATGAAGTCAGGACCAGTCTACTGAGTGTGTGACTGTGTAACAGGCTACGCTGAGGGGCACGGTACGGAACGGAAGTGAGTCAGTCCCAAGGTCATCTAGACATCAGTCGTTTGGCAGACGGATTTATCACCAAACTCAGAGGAATGTCCACTCCAATCACAAATAATGAGGCAAGTTAAAATTGAATGATTAAATTCTGCATAAAACGCGCAACACCGCCGAATCCTTACCAAAAAGGTATTGCCACAATGTACGATCAAATATTTGCCGCCAGACCTCAGAAAACTATCGACAGCTAGCGCTTTGGTATATTAAGCATCGTCCAACTTGTGACACAAGCCAAGCGTTTTGCTGATGTACCGATTGAACAGTATGACTCTGGTAAGTTACATGTTAAGGGCAATTTATTACGAGTACACGTGACTCAATCCCCTAAAATCGATTTTTTTGTTCACGGTAACAGCACTGTATGGTCAGAAATGGAAGAGTGATTTGGATGTTCTGGAGGTTGTGATAGTTCAACTGTGTATGTGAAAACGACTGCTGCCTTCTTCCAGCCTCCCGCTGTAGTCCCCGTGTACGAAAAGCCCTATTCTTTGTTCATCCATCCAGACAGTTTTATTAACATTTAATCCAATATTTTTGCAGGATATGAAATTGGTTTCATTCTCTTGCATCTACCATTTTAAAAGGACCACTTCACTGCTCTATCAATTTGGAATTTCCTTTTTTTGCCCCCACAACCCAGACGCTGTTACTATTTTTCAGATGTACACAAGATAAGGTTTAACCAAATTTTGACCATCTATTATGATATCGGACTGATTCCGGTCTGTCAAGTAGCATTTGGTCGCTTGAGTGTTCTATTTAGCCTTTCAGAACAGTCACGTTTTGGTATAAATTTGACCAATGGGAACAAAGCAAAATAGCACCGCCCCGATAAAGTCAGAAGTTGGTCGTTTGAGCATGCGACGTTAAATTTTTGAGGATTGAGCTTTCAGTAGTTTGTGTTCTGTTTACCGGAAATTTAGCACATACTGTTCCTAATTTTTAACCCAGTTTCAGTCTTCAGATGCCCAGTTACGCATTCTGTCCTCTTTCTTGTCTTCAAGATCAACTCATGTCTGAAAAAGGAGTTCAGAAAGAGTGCCGGCTGCTCTGACATCGTGTGTACGTGTCTCAGTAATCCTATTTCAGAAACGTTGAACTCCTTTTGGGGCAGAGTTCACGTTGGTTTATGTTAATGTTCGTCTACTACATTAACTTAGCAGCAGAACCCTGAAGTCAGTTCTTTAAGTTTGAAGTTGCATTTCGGACTCCATATGCTTCTTAGCCTAAACTCATCGCCTTTCTGTATCTCTGCAAGCTGAGCGAGTTTCACCAGAAGCTGTTGATTAGTTGACTTGTGATAGCACTAATGCTGAGAACTCTTCTTGAAAAAGGTGGTGCAGTGTAAACTTTTCAGAAGAGTCAGAAAACTTTCCGGGTTGTAAATTTACCCGAAACACGAGAAATGACGCCATGTTGTCAACTAGCCAATATATGACCATCCCTTGTCCATGCTATTGGAGTCCACCGCAGATTTTTCGCAGATTTCGCTGTCGTGCAGATTGCAAAATTTTTTACTGTCACTGTGTAAGCAGTATGGGTCAGTTATTTTTTTCGAGCGGTTCGGAGCTCATGAATTTTACACATCACCCTAGTACTCAACCGTATTAGGATGCACTGATCAGGTTTTAAGCCACTAATATGGGTGCAGTAGCTGAGAGATCACATGACACCCAAGCAAGAAGAGAAACAAACAAACTGTAGTCCTCATATCTGGTCGACTGATAGTGTGGGGTTGTGCTAGCAGTTAGTGCTAGCACTTTATTCGTGACCGTATTGACACCCTAGGGTATCCAAACACTGTAAAGCCTGGTCCGAACGCAATAATCCTATGTGGAACATCTATCCACATGAACTAATGCTCAGAACCCTAAGCAATTATTGGTGCTGGCACAGACAAAACACTGGCCTCAAGTTGGAGATATCCTCCAGTGATCTGAGGCACTCGGCGAGCAAGCGTTTCGAGACGTCGGTTGACTACAGATCCTCTTCCCAGACCCTATGTCACCTAATAGCAAACAAGAAATATAAATAAAGCAGATATGCCGGACTTCTTGGCAGGTTTTAGCGCCAGCATATGCGTTGCTGGATCGTCGACAGCTTGAGCATCGTACCAACTGAAACTTGAGACAAACTTTATGCGGCACTTTGATAAAAGCCAAAGTTTCCCGCTAAAGCCAAATTGGTGTGCGAAGGGATCGTGTACAATTTGTCTTCAGGAAGAACATAACGTTGATGGAAAATTGGGGTACGTGCTTAGCTGATGAGTCATAAGAAGAATGAAAACGGTTGTGGACTGTCTTCAGATACCGTTCAACTGGTTTCCTTCAAGGATTTAACACGTTGTTTGCAAACTCTAAAAGGTTTATTAGCTCAGCGACCCATTTTTGGACCTGAATTTTACGAGGCTGCTGAAAAGGTTGTATCGCTTTACGCCGATTCTGCGGTACAACGAAGTCTTTTTTAGTTGTTTCATCAAGCAACGACGATTATTCGCATTAGTGTCCACGCACGGAATGTAGGCGGGAATTGGGCCTGGATTTTTTAACCAAGTAAAGAAGCCACTTTAGTTTTTTCGCGCATCCTCCCTAAAGAAGTATTTCATCGCTAATATTCTGTACACGTGCAAGTGGCAAACAACACAGAATCGTCATAATTTTGAAGTTTTTTTAAGGACATTTCTAATTTTTAGAGACAACTTTGGGAATAAAATAAAATTTTACTCTCGATCTCGAAGTTTGACACCGATTGACTTTGAAAAGTCTTCATATTCAAAACTGGAGATTAGACCTGGTTTGTAGTGCTTTTACTTGGCATCAAAGTGCTGTATGAGGGTCAGAATTCGTGGAAAATCTACTTTGACTTTGAAGGCACCTCCTCTTCTCCCCCATGCTAATCACTTCTAGAAATGTGTTAAGTAACCATGGACAGAAACTTGAAAAAATCAACATTTTTACATGGCTGCATCCATGCTGAACCAATCATCGAATTTCACCTGCCAACTGGTCGTCTTTGCAAACAAATCGCTCGCTGGCAGAAATTCAAAATGATGAGTAGAATCGCCGAAACGTCAAGGTACTTGCTTAATTTTTTGGTAGTACACTTGATCAACTGAACTAATCAGAACCTGGCCAAACGAATCTCTGGGGATGATTGACAGTTAAAACTACATTATGTAGACAGCACTGGAATCTGAGCGATTTTCAAACACCCATAAATGTTATTCTGGCATTTTTCCGTGGCAGGGTCCTTGTAAACTCGACTAAACGTAGGAAGCCGGACAACGGCTCGGTAAGTTAACTCTTTTGATCCAATAAACACCTAAATAGCCTCTTCACTCCATGTCACCGTTACAACCACTCTTCTATGCTGAAACATGCAACAAAGCAATTACTTCTCTCTTACCCACTGTGTATTCTCCTCTTATCCAATGATGTCGAGTGAATTCCCGAGGAAACATGGCCTCACACATTTTGCTGAGGTCACTTGGACATCCAGGGTTCACTAAAAAGAGCAAAAAATAAACTATATTTAGTCAATAAGGACGGAAAGCTTTTGCTTCAGAGTTTTCATACTAGTCCCTCAGATAATGTTTTGGACAATTCTCCCCTATTCAAAACACTGCAAAACAAACATTTGTTGAAATAAACGAAGAATTTTACTTACCTAATGTTGAGTAAAAGACCACGCCAGCTGTGATCCCTCGGGTGAGGTTCGCCCATTGTTAGAGGTAGGTCCGACGAATTTATGAGTCGATTTTTCCGGCAAAGTTTAAGTTCACTTCAGTCGAACTTATACTCCTGTCAAGCCCACTTAAGTGACTTCAGACTACACGTGTGACATGTCGGTCGCAGCTAGAGGCATTTCAACAGGAAAGACTGGAATATGGTTGGAGATACACACAAAACTAATCGTGTAGCGTATTATGTTAGGCAATATTCCATCAGATCACTGACGCCGTATTCCTGAATTTCTGGCACAGGATCGAACTGACCTCTGGAAACGATAGCGCGCCTCATGGCCAAGGATGCACACAACTGCACTACCGATGCTACCACTAGTAACCTTAATTATTCAAAGGCGTAATCATAAACATAAAATGCACGAAATATTCGTAGAATTATATGCATGAGAACAAAAGGCACAAGGGATAAGTCCAGAAAAAGTGTCATTACTGATTGGGTCTATTATGGCAGACCGTCCTATAGAGGTGGAACGAAGGTTTAATTGAAACATACTACACCACTAAAGTTCATACCAAAAAGGTGCAATAGACAATGCCCAGTGCTCCTCGGGCGCAAAAGGGAACAAACACTGCAACAATCACGACAACATTAGCAAAAACTCAAGGTATTAGGAATTGGACACCAGAGTTTCCAAAAAAATTGGGGGTTCTTTATCCAAAGCACGGAGGTCACGTTTTCTATATTCCCCCGAGTGCACTCGTCACATAAAACCCAATATGATATCAATTGATGAAGCGTAATTCCGTATTGTCACGTTGAACAAAGCTACGAATGCGCATGCATCTCTAGAAGCAATATTCTGTCGTTTCCTTGATGTTTGCTGCTTAGCTAGGAGTTAAGTTTGGTCATATGAACTTGATGTCGACAGTTTCCAACAGTTCAGCTGTTGTTTATGTCAGTAATGAACAGGGGTTGACAACTCAAACTTTTTTAAGATAACAAATAAACAGGTATTCGAGCTCTACACCAAGCAAAATCTCATCCAGGCTTTCAACGGGTTTGGATGGAAAACATTTCCAGCGCATCTGAATACTAATAATCTGAAGTGGCCGATAAAAACTGGTCACCATTGTGGGGTTGTTTAGTGACGCATAGTCTTGCCTTGCCACATTTTTTCGGTTTTTATCAAGTTGGAGTTTCGGCAGATAATTCAGTGACTCACTCTTACCTGTTTGACTGTATCAGTTGAAAAATTTAGCTTAACCTAGCACTGTCTGCGCAATTGGTCCACGGAGGACTTCACTGTGGGCAACTGACCCTAAAGGAGGAATTAACATGAATACAACCTGCGGTACAACCATAAAAGGTTTTGCAGTTTCCTGATAGAGATGTGTAAATTTTCGAACTACACCGAATAATCGAGTCGATCGTTTCGTTTGTTTTCACTGTGCATTTTGGAAGATATGGTTTGTGCTCACTCCTTTAATAGCGTGAATGGTCGCCTGACGATGTAACATTCCATCTTGAAGTGTGATGGCTTTCCAGGTTCACCATTTAATCCGATCAGCTGATTCACGTTCCACCATTAGAATGTGTCTTTTGAAACCTGTGACTTAATCTAGAAGTGGGTGAGTGAGCTGGAAATCTAATACAGTCAGCCGAAGTCACCGAACGCACTTGGTTTTGTGTGTGGCTGGCGTTTTTCGTAGACTGATGAAAATCGGCCAATATAGGCCATTTCCATGTGGCCAATCAGTTCGTTTGGTCAATTGTTGAAAATGTCAGGACTTAACACTGACACTGCACTTAACAGGACTCAAAGTACAAGTGTCTCCCCGGAGGAATGGTCTTTGTTGATGCTGTCATCTCCAGAGAAGATCGACTATAATACAGTGTTTTAGAAACCCAAAAAGTTGTTGCTCGTATTCGTGTTATTTTCATCCGGCTTGTGGAATTTATCTCAGGAAAAATCAAAATGGTTATCCTCTCTTGACCTTGCTTTGAAGAGTAGTGAGGCAGCAAACTTGAAGTAACATGGATGACGACGGAGTCTGTTCCAAGCTCTTCGGTGTATGGCTTCTTGTTGAAGGTGGTCTCTGAATGCTGACTGGTGTACCTGCTGGGGCTGGGCACTGGGTACAAAGCTCAGTGACTCACTGAACCGGTCCAGACAATGGGCAATTACGTGTACTGGCGAGGTCACTTATTAATCTTAGTTCTATTCTAAAATCCCTGACTCCGTACACCGTCTGATATCACGGCGGATGCAAAATTGGCGAACAGTTAGGTTGGAACTTATGGTGGGGGTACGGGTAAGGAGCAAGGAGTCATTGAAAAAGAGCTGTCGGGAACTCTAGGACTGAAACAGCCTTATCCATTCTTGTGATTCCTCTCATGCTGAAGAGCAATTCCACGTCATTTTGGTCCACCATTAGAGCCATAGAAATCTTCCTTTTTGATATCCCGCTCTCAACACCATTTATCCTGTTGCATCGCCCTGCACTTGACAAGGGGTGATGGATATCGGTAGTAAAACCCAACCTCTGTCCGATCAGATTTTTTCGTTCGTATGTGTAACTGACGCAATCAGCAGACCAGTAGCTGCTTCAGTAGGAAGACGGTCCGCGGTGCAGGGAACGGTTAGATGAAAACTGGGTTAAAACCAACTTCAACTTAATGAAGTGATGAATAAATTTCTGACCTTTCTGACTTTCTCTGTGCTGATTTGCTACAGCGTTCCTTGCCATTCTTCTGGTTTTGTTTATTCAAATACGTTTCTCTAGATAGAATTTGCGTGTGAAACTTGTTCTCAACATCTCCAATTTTTAAGGCACGGTTTGTTTTTGGATATTTGGTGCAAAATTACTCGCTTTTCCAGGCTATTCGCTGTCGCGCACTTCAGATTTACTGAAAGATAATTCAGGTTGTTTGCACAGTGAAACTGCTTTGGTCTCTCAAGTAGAGAGCTAAACTTCCATCGAATGCGTCATACGAGTCCACGTTCCATGTAATCAGTCAAGTGATCGATCACCTAGGACAAAGACCTATCGTGGAGGGGACGTATGCAAGTCTGTGACATGAGTGCGTTATCGATCTTGACGATCACATCACCTCCCTTCAGTCTTATCGTCAACAACCCGCATCTTGTGTTAGCAGCTTCTCGAACGTCAACACGGCCTCACAGCGAATGGTGAGTGAATGGTCACTCAGTTTTGCCTCCTCTAATAGTGTCTCGGTCATTAACCCAGCATGAGTTCTCACATCATGGTCAGTAATTCTAAGCTTCTTTAATATGTCGCGAATCCTATGGACGGCGTGAGAATATTTTTGAGAATTTCTGCTCAGAATCTACTTAGCCTGAAAGTGTTTGTCGTTGGGAAAGACTTCCACGAAATGAGCACTTTTTGTAAGGAACTAATGGGCAGACAGGTTAAACCAGAGAGTAGTGCGGCCACTTTATTTTATTCTTTTACTTATTCTGCCGATTGTTTCTGCAGAAAACCACTCACTAAAGCCACTTCGATACAAGTGGCTTTTCAGAATTTGTGAGGATGATGCCTAAAAAAGCTTCCTTATCCTTACCGAGATGCATTTCTGTCCAACACTTGCGTGTGACAAATTCCAATGAGAGCTCCAGCGTTACATGGTGTTGAGCACGTAACATAAGTTCCCTACGCATAAATAAAAGTGTTATGAAAGTGTGTAGGTGGTTCGAACGCTGAAATGGGTGTTGATTTTCTTTCCAGCTGAAAAATGAGGGGGTAATGGTTAAATATACGCTACCGACCTAATCGAAAAAGAAAAACATATGGATATTTTACGATTATGTTAGACAATGTACTCCTTCAAATTTTCAACATGCACTGATCGTCTACGATAGTTAACAAGCTCGCTGCAGAATCACTGCGACCTTGTCACGCCAGACAGTCACTACTCAGAATTTATAGGTCCGTCACATTTTCCCCTCGTCCCAATCAGGCAGTCTTCTCCAGCTGAGGTTATATTGTGAGAAATAGTCAACAGAAATTTTGTTGGGTGCATTTCATGCCGAGAATAGATTCACTGAACCTAATAGCAACGATACAAGCTAAGTTCAACGACTTGGAGGTGTTCACTAGCTCTGTCGCCCAGTTAGGCCACTGGGCTTGAGAGGCCGAAGTGAATATTACAACAGTGAATATTGCTCCCCGAATGGCTAATGACCACAGGTTTTATTGTAAGAGGGCTCGTTAAGCTGAAAAAGCATGCTCATCATTCCTCCACAGCAAATGCGTAACTCTTATTAAGAGAGCGGAAATTCCTACCTTGTATTTTTTGTTGTACAGGTGAGCTGTCTTGATTTTGCAGTCCCCAATAGTCTGGCCACTTCTCACAACCACCTGTTGGTAAAAGTGAGCAGGCTGCTCGAGTCAATTCAAGATCGCCTTTGTTCTCCTCATGTCGACTGGGATACGTATATTGCTCAAACGACAACTGATCTGAACTTTCATGTCCTCTACTATGTTCTTGGGACCTGAAAGAGCTAACTCTTCTCTGGTAACGAGGTTTCCAATATCCGGAATCGAAAGTGGGAGTCGCTTGATGCGTTTGAGGATACGGACGAACATCCCGAGGAGACAATGATGAAGGTTGGTTTCTGTAGGTCGAGTATCGTCTAGCATAGAAGGTACTACCATACGGAAATCTATGTGCATTTGGACTGGATGCCCTGCTTGAGTACATTTGATTTTTTTGAGAGTGTGACCACGACGGAGCGTCCAATGGTACTCTTCGTTTTTCCACCGGACATCCAGCGGGTATTGCCGATACTGGATTATTATATTGTCCTTCGAGAGATCTTGACTTCTCGCAGCTTTCCAAGAATTCCAAACACGAAGACTGGCAGGGAATATCGTGGAGCTAGACAACCAAAGAGAAAAAGATGATTCAAAAGTAAGAACGGCTACCTGTGTTTTAATGGAGCTATGATCGAACTGATAGAAACAATGTTTTGGCAGCAAACAGCTGTAAAACTGCAATGGACATAATCACTTTAATAATGGATGGGGAGTTAACTTGGCTAGAGCTACTCCTACTTAGAGTGACTATTCATGCCGCATTTTTGGGACCGAGTAGGCTGAGGAGAAAAGTCAAAGTACCATTTCAGTCTATTGTTGTCCCCTGAGATAAATGGGATTACTGACTATGTAAAACGCTGACAATTTTGGGATCATGTCTGTGACGCGAACAAGTTTTTACACCTTGTTTGACGTAATACTCGGGATGGAGGGCTGTCAGATGAATCCGAAACAACTGGTGGTGGCTCGACACTCGACACTCCCGTTCCGGTTTCTTGAGCAGTATTTTCGAAATCAACAGCTGATTTCTTTTGTGTTCAGTGTCTCAATAAAGCTACTTAGCACACAGTGGCTTGTTGGGAAACTCTGTGAGTGGGCAAAATACATTTGATTCGTACATGTGCTACTGACTGTTGTTTACAGATTTCAGTATCTCCAAAAAGCAAACGCCTCAGAGAGGAATCCGATATTTTTAAGGTGAGAGCAAAGTCAACTCCTGACAGCACTGCTTTGGATAATTGACTTCTATACGTAATCTCACAATGAGAGTTCTGCTAAACAAATACTTGCAAGGAGAGATATGTGAATAGATACTTTTCTTTGCATAGATATTATCAACCAAAGACCGCCGGTCAACCCAGAATAGATCCACATAGCAGGGATGACTTTTCAAAAATGATCCAAGAGGCATCGCTCTTTTATCAAATCGAAAGGCTAAGCATCTTTCGGTTAGCTGTCTCCAAAAACTTGGCGTGATTGTTGCAGTCAGTCTGGACAAGAGGACAGCAATAGAAGAAGCAACAAGAGGGTAAAAGAAAGAGGACGAGTACCCGGATTACGAACAGTTAGACTTTATCATGTAAACCATTCAATACATCTTCACATGAAGATTTTTTTGGTCAGATAAATTACCTTGTGGTAAATGATTCTGAAGGAGATCCCCATACAACTTCAAAAGCATAAAGCGAGCAACCGCAAAGTTGAATTTTTTTCTATAGTTACGTATAAGAATCACAATATCATTGACATTTTTTGAGTGACATTTACAGAAGAATTTATTAGCTTGATAGATTTCGCTCGCTTCCTGAACGGCTCCTCGGCGACAAAAGAATAACGCCATCTTATCTTTTACAGGCGAAAGTGACTGTTTTGTTGAGTATCGATGAGTCTCATATCATCACACTCTTTAGTGGCTAAATCTATCTTTTGAAAGGAACACAGTTAATCTACAGTATCGCCACAGAAGTGTAGGTTACTACACAAATGGGTAATTGAAACAAGTCGTACACATATATTACATATAAATATACATCCCTTATGGATGTGGCGTGGATGACTTTTGGTGGGTCAAACTAGATTGACCTGGTCTGTCCCCCAAATGGACGTAACTAGCAGATCGTCAGTGGTGTGCTGGTGCTTAAATTGCCCTTTGATACTTAATTGTGATGCTGGAAATTATTGTTATGCCTCCGCAAAACCTCCTTCGGCTGAAATTCCAGTCCAGCAATCAGGCAAGCATAATCTTAAGCGACTTATTGGTTAATGTTGAACTGTTAATCTCCTCTTCAAACCTTAGGCCTAATATTTGATCTGACGTTGCTTGGGAATTTGCGTTCCGCTACAAAAGCTTACAAATAAGAGTTCCTCGACTCTTGTTGATACTCATCCTGTATGGGACGGACAAAATGGCTGGTTGTCATTCACAATCCCTTGACCTATTGACGAACCAGGGGGCGGGACGAAGCAATCAACCAACTAACCAACCAACCAACCTTCAGATGCTATAGAATGATTAGTTAGATTATCGAAAAACATGAATGAACAAATATACCACCCCATTACTTGGGGAACTTTTCAATCAGTTGAACAATAATTCATCCGTTTCGTTTATCACTTTATTCATCCTACAAATCTGAGGTGATGTAATAAACATACAACAAGATAAACGGTTGCAGAACAGTAGAGACTGAACTTAACGTTTAACCGAAACTGCTTTAAGCTAAAACCACTAACTGTAACGAAAGCTTTAACTGGGAATCGAGATGGCAGCTCTCGAAAAGATCGAGAAAAATTAGGTGACTGCGTTTGCTACCAGCCGGTTCCCTCCACTTGCGCAACATCCCATCCACACGCTTCACCTAAGGCAATTTTTATACCTCCATATTAATTAGAATTCTGACTTTCTTCATACCATTTAACTCACCGACAGAACATATGTTTTCTTCTCGCTGGTAATAAAGCATGTTCGAACAGCATTGGAAGTTTTGACTAAATGGGGTCCAGAGAACAAGTGGGGCCAATTGAAAAGGTTGTCCCGCTTACCGATTATGTGCATTACTTAGCCATATAATTCATAAGCGTTCACAGTGGAACTGATTAATAGACTCCAAAGACAGCTGCGTTCTTTCTAATTTTACTCGGCCCAACTACTTGGCTAAGGTCCACAAACATGTTTTATTGCATTTGAGCGCGAACCATGCAAGACATTTACATCACTGTCGCACATTAATATCAATTTCACACGGTAAGAGTCGCCAGGTGGGTTTTTCAGTGTGCCGAAGCCTTTAAACCTTCCTACCCAGGTCAGTCTGTTCACATGAATTTTGCTGGCGTGTGATGTCATTGTTAGCTTCCATTGACTGGGTGTTGCAAGTGTGTGGGTTAGAAAGCCAGTTTCGTGGCAGTCACATCAGGTCACAAATCTTGTGTACGATATAGCGTAATTTCACCCTTAGAATATGGATGAATATGGATGCGTTCCTGATTAGCTCCACTCCCAACACGCTCAGAAAATCAATTTTGGGTCTTCGAAAATAAGACAAACCAGTTTCTCAGTGTAGTGATTCTATAATATCTTGTGATTGAAGTTGGAAGTTTGTTTGATTAGCCTGCATTTGCTAAACGGCATTTAAGGCGTCGATTGGAGAAACAGCGGCGAAAATGTTTGGGACCGGTTGGGTAGTCATCGTTTATGTTTGTCGGCAAACTGGTCTGGGTCTAAAAGTACAGGCAGAGTAAGATCCGCTTAACAACAACCACCCCAACATCAGTCGAATTTTCCTGGCACAGGCAAAAAAATCTGTGAAGAAACCCTAAGAGGAGTTTCCATTAATGTGTCATAGACCTGAAAACCAAGGCCTAAAAATCCAGTTTCAACATGAATGTAAATGGATGTAAATGAATCTTAAATGTTAGTCATCCTCACTAACCAACAAACAGGAACTTCAGCCCAACACCCAGCAATGATCAAGTCGGCTAGTCATAAAAAATATCACGGATTGGTTCCCTGCCTGCCTTAAAAGCCAATCAATCTGGTTACTTGCTCACTTGGCCTCACGAAGCTTTCGTGTCAAAAGCGAAACCTTGTCCAGCAATAAATCAACGGGTTGTCTACCAAACCTCTCTTAAACTAAGCATCTTCTTTCTAAGGTACTTATTTATGCTCCTCCAAGCCTCAATCGCCGCAACTTACGAAACACCGTTTCAAGCATACTGCTCTAAAACGGTACAATGCTTGTTGAAGCACACCTCTGTAAATAGCTCACAAAGATGCTCGTACATGCGGTTCACATATGGGGTTCAGTTATGCCTCCACTTTCTGGTCTTGTGACTGGTTTCATCACATCATTGAGTGTTTTCTGTGTATTTGTCACACCATACGAAGCTTAATTGCAAGGAACCAAACCAGCACAAATCCACTCGGGCTTTTATGTCTCAACAGGCAAACATGCTTACAGTGGAACTGCACCCGTGCTTATGCTTTATATGCACAGTCCAGACGTGAACATGTTAGACTACTCATAGATAACTGCTTCCAAGTTGTGCTGATAGACTACCTTTAAGGTTAATGAAACGCACTGTTAATTTCGCTCCTCTTAGAGGGACTACAATGGTACACCCACTTGATATGGAATTGGCATGATGGCAGATCCAGGATAGCAGGTAAAAAGTCTAGAATTTGGAAGGAGAGTGATGTGCAATGAGCCTTGTCGGTCACACCTGAGGCAGACATTACGATGTCAATTTCACAGGCACTTGAGTTTTATCCAATGGCACCATTATCGTCATTTGCATCGAACAAGCTCTTTAGGGTTGCCATCCTTCAGGCACGAAACTGAAACCAGTCACCTCTATGATTACTTGATAGCGGTTGGAGCTGTCAAATGTGTCACCAGTGAGCAACTCTATCAGCTAGAACGGAAGCCACAAGCAAAATCTAATGGTGGCATTTCCGTTTACTCGCGCATCCGTTATGCAAGTCCGAAATTTGTTAATAGCACTAGATTTGAAAACTAGGTGACCATTTGGCCTTGTATGTAAAACTAATCTATGCCGAAATTCAGAGGACTACGAGGCTTCTCGGCTTTCCGGTGTAGATTCGCTTCACTCGTAGAATGAAATCTCTCTTGACGTCTGAAATCGCCACAAACTAGCTGATGCCCTATTAAATGTGGCTATCGCTCTCCCAGAATGATTTTATAGTACAGACGGATAACATACTACTCTGGATACTCTCGGTCAACACGGGCAGTTGATGGATGGAAAAAAATTATTGTGGGTTGTACTGGATTGACGCTAGGTGATCAAGCATGAATTCAATCATACAATGCTGTCGGAATTCACCTTGTTACAGATTTAGCCAGAACATGATATTCCCTTGATATTTTGGGAATGATTATATCGATTCAGATACTGATGGATATGGTAAGTTATTCTAAGTCTTCTGCCAGTCAGACAGATATATTCAAAAAAAGCAGCACACTGGTGATAAAAATCTATGTGCTTAGTAAGTGCTATTCACTGTCTTATCATTCCCCACCCCCGGTAGACATAGCTGGATGG